AGCCTCAGTCTCAGTATCACAAAAAAAGGGGGGGGGGATAGCACAGCCATAAATGCCCTTGGTACCTAACCCATCACTAGCAGCCCAGGTTTGGAGGGGGGTTGTTTGGGGTTTTTTTTGGGGGGGCAGTACTGGAGTTTGAACTTGGCCTTGAGCTTGCTATGCAGGCGCTGTACACTTGTGCCACATCCCAGCCATATTCCAACTCCTCCTGGAGTCACCTCCTACTCAGGCTGACTCTACGCTGGATTGTCCCCTTTAAGACTTAACTGCAGTGGCTCAGAAGCTCACAGACACCAGGGCTATCATCTTTAGTTTCTCAGGGTGAGATGTCACCATTGTTCTTCCATCTGGCCTTCACTAACAAGCCCTGGAATGACCCTCTCCTGAAACCCTTGACTCTTTCTATCACTTCAGCAGAAAGCTCCCTTTCCAGTCCCTGGCTGTGCTCTGGTATAGATGAGGGTTGGGGGGGTGGGGTTGAGGATGTGAAAGCTGGATGGACTTGGGAGACTGCCTACTCTCTACCTTCTTTCCCGAAGAAGAATGAGGCTAGAGAAGTGAAGGATCCTTCCTGAGACCACACAGGAAGTAGCAGAACCAGCTTTCCTTTGGCCCAGCCTGTGTCCTTTTTAAACTCAGTGACACCAGACTTCACACAAAAGTACAGTCATGGAAACATGGTGGAACTGCATGGCAACACCGACTTCTTGGAGGCTTTACCAGGTGCTAGCCGGCCTGTGTTTACCTTAACTCCTGTTCTGAGTGAGTCACAGTAGGAGCAATGACCCACTTGGGATGTTATAAGGTACAGATCCAGTCATCCTTCCACTTCCTGGGGTGTTAGTCTAATTTAGGAAACTCGTCGACCTTTCTGTAGTGTCTAGAGGGAAGGTCTGTGCTAAATTCTTGCTGGCTCATAGTTGGAAGCCTGCTGAGCACAGGAACCCCAGGCATGACACAGACTTGGCAGCACCCAGAGCAGCGTCTTCTCCAGATGCTAGCCCACTAGTGTGTGCTGATGTTCCAAAATAATCCTTCAGCTCTTGGGTACCACCATGCAGTGCCCTGGACTCCTCTCACCTGTGAGAGCCTGGCCCAGCCACCTCCCTCCTCAACCCTCCCCCACTTTTGGACAATTGGTCACAGCTGTGGGAGCTGGCATTTCTTCCCTCCACCCCCACGTTAATGAGAGCCAGCTGCTAGGGCTCTCCCGTGGACGTGGACTTCCTTTGAAAACACTGCCTCTCCCCCAAAGCTGGCTGCTCAGTGAGGTTCTGCCATGTGCTTGCTGGAAGAGTCGTTCTTAGCCTCCCCAGAACCACAGCCCAGCTGTACCCACCCTCACCCTACCCCACCCCATGGAGGGCTTCTGGCCTTCACGAGGGGGAAGAAAATTCCATTAGTACTTGCCAAAGTGAGAAAAACGTAAGGTATGCTTGAAATAATCCCTTCTTTAGTGGGGGCAGAGCTGCCAGCATTATTATTTGCAGAATCTGACCTTTCCTTTCTGTGTTGCACAAGGCAGAATGTGTTTTTAGAATAGTGACACCGGCTAGAGCAAGCGGAATGAGACACTCCTCCAGCAGCTGCCCGCCTGTTGTTCTCTGGTTCAGCGTGCCCATTCGCCCTCCCTGCAGCTAATAAGGTGTTAACAATAACCAGGTGTGGGAGCCCTTGGCTCCAGCTGCACCAGCAGATCTGACTATTAAACAAACAAAAAAAACACACCCAGCAAGAACTCACTCATGCAGCACCTGCCTGCATAGCTGCTAAGTTAGCAGTTGAGTTGTCATCCTTTGTCCCATCAGAATTGAATCCAGGGGGTAGCGCAATGAGAGAGCACTTGCCTGGCCTTTGTGGGGCCCTGGGTAGAGCTCCAGCCCCGCAAAGTGAAATAAAATAAAAATTGGATGCAGTTGCCCTTCTGCTCAGTGCACAGATCCCCGTGCAGCGAGTGGGTGCCGTCTTCCTTTGTGTAACCGTTACTCACCCATCCTGTGCATCTAGCAACAGCCTTGGCTCGTGTTCTTCCTAACCTCGCTCCAGCCACCTTCTCTGCCACTTGGTTCCCAGTCACTGCCGCTGAACCACTGAGGCCTCCTTGCTGTCCCAGCCTCCCGGGGCCTCTCTGTCATTCCTGGCAGCATTGGGCTTCCACTAGAGATCACAAAGTGATACAGTTGAGAGAGGGGAGGCTTCTCTGTGGAGGAGACTGCAAGAAAGTGAAAGGGCAAGAAGAGTCTTTCTCCTCGATATGGGGAGATGTAGACAGATGCTTTTCCTGCTGCAGTGACCGAGGGGAGCACACGGGCCATCACCCTGAGTCTTAGAAAGCCTCTGCTCCGCTCAGTCCAAAGGCTCTTTTGTTCCCACCCTGCCCTACCCTAAACCCAGAGTTCACGTTAGCCCCCTAAGCCTCAGTGCCTTTTGCTATAGCATTCAAAACAGAGTAAACTTGGAGCCCAGAATGATGGCTCACACCTGTAATTCCAGCTACTCTGGAGGCTGAGGCAGGAGGATCATGAGTTCAAGGGCAACCTGGGCAACTAGCGAGACCCTATCTCAAAAAAAAAAAAAAAGGTGAACCCTATCCCTAGGATTGCTTCCAAGGCTAAAGTTTCTGGGATTCTGTACTTTCCCTGGAGTCAGAAGTGCGACACAACTCTGAAATGTGAAAGGATTTTACTTTGGGGATTGCACCCATGGCCTCCATGCATGGCCTCCATGCATGGCCTCCATGCAGGCTAGGCAAGTGCTCTACCACCAAGCTATCCCCACCCCATAAAGGGAGTCTTAAACATGAACTCTGTGTTTTTATTCTTTAGAGACTAAGAGTTTCAAAGACTGGTGGAGCAGACCCATATCCATCCACTTCTCTCCAAGTTACATTTCGAAGCCTACAACAAATCCTTACAAAGGCTTTGTTCAGGGAGTTGTCACTTTCCAGTGAAACAGGAAACATCCAAATTCCAGCTCAGTCATTGCCCTCCTCCTGCCCCCACTGGACCTGCTTTTCTAGTCCGAACCAATGGCTCCTAGCCCTTTATGTTGCATCCATGATTGATGAGAAATGTATCTCTTTACATTCACACCCAGCACATGCACATGGGTAGTTATTTATAACTAGAAAGAAATGCACTCTTATTTTCTAATCATCTTATTGTTTTTTGTTTGTCCGTTCGTTTTTGGTTTTTTTGCAGTGCTGGGAATGGAGCCCAGAGCCTTTCCTGTGCTAGGCAGGTGCTCTTCCTCTTGAGCCAGTCCTGTTTTTGGGGTTGGTTATTTTCGAGATAGGGTCTCCTCGAACTATTTGCCCAGGGCTGGCTTCGAACTGCAATCCTCCTGATCTCTGCCTCCTGAGTAGCTACGATTATAGGCGTGAGCCACCAGCTCCTGACCTTAGTCCTGTTGCTTTTAGTGCTGATCACAATGCATGAAAACCATTGCAGGGCCCCATAATGGTCTGCAAACTGTACTGTGGAACCCTGCTCTAATGACCTCGCTTCAATCAGACTAGTTCTAAAATCAAAAACTTTTTGAACAAGGTAAATTCCAGACATGCAGTGATCTACATACAGAGTGAGGAAAGTAAGCCCAGGGAAAGCATTTCACTGAAAGACTGACATCCTGGACTCTGGGATAAAGCTGTGCCTTAGGAATAAGGTTCTCTGCTTGGAGAAGGTGGAGCGCTCCATCCTTTCAAAGGTGTCAAAGTCACTTTGCCCCAACTCTGGCTCCATGGTTGATAACACTTTGCTTAACCGAAGTCCTAACTTAATTATTCTGGTCACTCTTACTCAGCTGATAAAGTAAGTTTTACAGTGCTAAGAATGAAATCTTGGGGTAGCATTGTCCTCATTTGGGGGTGAGGATTGAAGAAAAGGACAAAGATCAGTGCAATACCTGGATGCTGTGGTGCCAAGAGGCATTTCCTGGCCCCTCTATTACTTGGAGAATGATTATTTCTGGTTTCTAAGTGAACCAGATGTAACAGTACCCTTGTTAGTTTGGGGGCCCCCAAATGGGAGTAGGATGGAAAAGAGGGCTAATATTTATGTGTAATTTTTTTGGCAAATAAGTATTTTTGTGTATGTGTTGGGTGCAGTGGCTCACACCTGCAATCCAAACTACTCAGGAGGTGGAGAGCAGGTGGGCCATTACTCAAGGCCAGCCTGGGCAAACAGTTGCCAAGACCCCATCTCAATCAGCAAGCCAGGTGTGGTGATGCATGTCTGTAAACCCAGCTACGAAGGAAGCCATAGGCAGGAGGGTCTCTGTCCAAGGCTGGCCCTGGGCAAAAACAAGACACCCTACCTGAAAAACAACTGAACCAAAAAAGGCATGGCTCAAGTGGTAGAGCACCTGCCTAGCAAGTATAGGGCTTTGTGTAAGTACCTAATACTACCAAAAAAAAAAGAAAGTAAAACTGGGTGCTGGTGGCTCACACCTGTAATCCTAGCTACTCAGGAGGCAGAGATCAGGAGGATCAAGGTTTGAGGCCAGTCCCAAGCAAATAGTTTGCAAGACTCTATCTCAAGAATACTCAACACAAAAAAGGGCTGGCAGAGTGGCTCAAGTGATAGAGGGCCTGCCTAGCAAGCATGAGGCCCTGAGTTCAAATCCCAGTACCGCCCCCAAAAACCCCAAAGGCTGGGGTTGTAGTTCAAGTGGCAGAGTGCTTACCTAACAAGCTAGAGGCCCGGGAGAGGGCTGGTTCGGGGCTGGCTCACTCTCTTTATAACAACAACCTTTGTGTTCCCAGACCTGACCCACTCCAAACATTCAACCCATGCATGTGGGTGGAGCCCCCAAGACCTCATCACCTTCCCCCGGCCCCACCTCCTCAGGGTTCCCCCTACCTCAACACTGCCACCCAGAGGACCAAGCTGCCAGCCCCGAACCTTCAGGGACAAACCGTGCCCTCCTTTGGGATGGAGGCCCATTCTCACCTGTGCTGAGCCCGCCTCTTCTCCGTCTTGTTCCCCCGGCTGCAGCACCCTGTCCAAGTGCTGCCACGCAATGGTGGCACTCATCTACCCCTTCAGCTGGCAGCACACCTACATCCCTGTGCTGCCGCCCGCCATGATCGACATCGTGTGCTCGCCCACCCCCTTCCTCATCGGGCTGCTGTCCAGCTCGCTGCCACTGCTCAGGGAGCTGCCACTGGAAGAGGTGAGCCCTATCCGTCGTCTCCCTCCCTTGGGGCAGAGAGCACAGGAATGGGGGTGGCTTGGTTTGTGACAGGTCCTGCAGGAGTCTGGCTCAGTTGACCCCTCAACAACTAACATCCTTGTTTTCCCTTTCAAATGAAATGTCCATTGTAAGCAGCAATGAGAAAGGCAGCCATGAAGTCCTAGCCAGAACACCTGCCCTGTCCTGCCCCTTCCCCCACCCCCACCCCTGCACCAAGGGAAGGCAGCACAGGAAGACGTGGGTAACCTACCGGAATGTGTGCGGGAACCAATGACAGAATGGGCAAGGGTGGTGTGCCTATAATGTATCCTTTGAAGTATCAGTTATAAAAGACAACCACCAAGCTAGGTGTGGTGGTACACGCCTGTAGTTCCAGCACTCAGGAAGCTGAAGCAGGAGGAGCAAAAATTTGAGGCCAGCCTGGGCTACATATCCCTGTCTCAAAAAAAAAAAAAAAAAAAAAAAAGAGAAAAGAAAAGAAAGAAAGAAAACCACCTGTGCCAGGGGGCTCCTCACTACTCAGGATGCAGAGATCAGGAGGATTGTGGTTCAAAGCCAGCCCAGGCAAATAGTTTGAGAGACCTTATCTTGAAAAATCCCATCACAAAAATGGGCTGGTGGAGTGGCTCAAAGTGTAGGCCCTCAGTTCAAGCCCCGGTACCACAAAAAACAAACAAACAAAAGACCATCAACAGTGCCTTGTTGTGGTCACACTCTGGGTTTTTAGATTAATATACAAGTGGGGAAAGTGCTACTTGTCATTTCTGGAGTTATTTCATCCCCTTCCTCTAAGTAGTTTCTGCCCCCATGTACTGGAAGCTCCAGCAATCAGAAGTTAAGTGGAAGGGGACTGAACAGTGCCACTCAGTCCTCAACTCAGCAGGTCTGTCCACCTGGCCCACATTCTCCCAGGGCTGGAGAGGCTGGTCCTCTAGGTGCCTAAAGACAACGGGTTTGCAGATGTCTTGTGATCCTTCCACACCTCAATTCAGCCCCAGAAGTTGGGGGTGGGGGATAGGAGAGACCTTCCTCAGCTTCTCTGCAGGTCTTGGGGTATATCAGAGCCCACGTGTGGCTAGGGTGGCCATCCAGGCCCCTTAGCCAGCAGCCTAAGCTGGGGTCTGAGTGAGGGACCAGTCAGAGCCGGCACATAGGGTCTCCTTAAACATTGCACACTAGGCACCTTGCTTACACACCCCGGCCTGGCCCTAGGTCTCAGCCCACCCTGAGTGGGGAGGGGAAAATGTCTCCTTCTGAAAATCTTAGCGTCCCCAGGTGAGACGTGACAAGGTTCAGACTGGGGAGTGATGGAGTTGAGCAAGATGGGAACAAGTGTTTTTCCCCGCTCTAGTAACCCACATACTTTTAAACCACAAGTCAGAGAAGCTGCTGTGGCCAGTCTGAGAACAGGTCCAAAGTCTAGCTGGGGCGCATGTGTGTCCAGGCCTGCGGTCAGTGTGGGAAGAACCCACTTCATCATCTGTATCTGTGGTGGCAACATCAAGAAACAACAACTGTCCCCCCACATCCCCACCCACCACAGCTGCCTCTGGATGCCAAGAGAGAAAAAGGCCAAAGTTCCATCTCTATCTGGGAAGCCCTAGTGACAATACTGTCCCTTTTCCTCCGTCCTGTAGGTCCTTGTGGTTGACCTCATCAATGATCGGTTCCTCAGACAGGTGAGTGTCCTCAGGGTTGGCCCTTCCCCAGGCCCAGATCAGAAAGCCAGCTTTGGATCACATGGGTCATCTGCTGTCGCTAGGGTCCCTGATGACCACCAGCTGCCCTACAGGGTGGGGACAGTGGAAGACATCTACCATCTATCTGCTGAGTGGGAAGCACTTTCACAATGAAAATGTGTGGTTTTAATATCCACAGTGAAGTAGTTATCGATTGGGAGCCCGTTTTACAAGTGGGAAACTGAGGCTCGAACAACTTGTAAAAAGTAGGATGGAGATTCAAACCTCAAGTCTCAGGCTCTCAGTCATGTTCCTTCCACTAACCTGGGAGCTGAGCTGGCCTGTCCGGCAGTGGAGCCAGTGTCTGGTGCTGGCCAGGATGCAACCACTGCCCAGGATCACCCAGAAGCACCTGCGCCATAGTCTACCTGCTTCTTCTGCTTGACAGATGGACGATGAGGATTCCATTCTGCCCCGGAAGCTTCAGGTGGCCCTGGAACACATTCTGGAGCAGAGGAATGACCTGGCCAGTGACCAGGATGGGGGGTCCCTGGACTGCACATACGGTAAGTGCAGCCCCTCCTCCACCGAGAGGGCCACGAGCAGCTGGACGATGGCCACTCATTCCCTTTGGTCTAAGACAGAAAGTGGGCAAGAGAGGCATGAGGAGAGAAAGTGGGGTCAGCATTTCATTTCAACAAGGGATTGTGGGAAAAATTTCTCATCACCCCCATTTTGGCCTAAAATGACTTTTACAGCCAGGCGCTGGTGGCTCATCCCTATAATCCTAGCTACCCAGGAGGCAGAGATCAAGAGGATTGTGGTTCAAAGCCAGCCTGGGCAAACAGTTCTTGAGACCCTATCTCCAAATTACCCAACACAAGAAAAACAGAGCTGGAAGAGTGGCTCAAGTGGTAGAGCAACTGCCTAGCAAATATGAGGCACTGAGTTCAAAGCCCATTACCACCAAAAAAAGAAATGAGTTTTACCTGGTGGGGGGGGGTGGTTAACCACCGGGGACCTGGCTGTGATCACACACCAGCTCTGGCCAGTTGTCTGTCCTCATTACCCCTGGCCTTTCCCTCCTTGCCCAGGCCCTGAGTCCAGTCCCTTGAACGAGGTGGTGTCTGAAGCCTTTGTTCGCTTCTTCGTGGAGATCGTGGGTCACTACTCCTTGTTCCTGACATCAGGGGAGCGTGAGGAGAGGACCCTACAGCGGGAGGCCTTCCGCAAAGCCGTGTCCTCCAAGAGCCTCCGCCGATTCCTGGAGGTCTTCATGGAGACCCAGACATTCCGCGGCTTCATCCAGGAGCGGGAGCTACGTCGGCAGGATGCCAAGGGTTGGGTGCCTTCCATGCTGGGGCAGGGAGCTGGGGATTCTCAGACTGCAGGTGGGGAAAGGCTTCCTTCCTACTCCTTTGTCCAACACAACAAAACTCAAGAGAGAACAGCTAGCCGGGCACTGGTGGCTCACACCTGTAATCCTAGCTACTCAGGAGGCAGAGATCAGGAGGATCATGGTTCAAAGCCAGCCTGGGGCAATGGTTCACAAGACCCTATCTAAAAATATCTAATACAAAAAGGGCTGGTGGAGTGGCTCAAGGTGTAGTCCCTGAGTTCAAGCCCTGGTATGGCAAAAAAAAAAGGTGAAACACCCTTTGCTCCTCTCTGCTGCCCTTCTCCCTTTCCTGGGTTCCTTTCCTCCTATTCCTCCTCCTCCCTTCTCCTACCATCACCCTGTCCCTGTGCCTGGGTTCCGTCATACTTCTAGGAATGGAGGAAGGCAGGAGTCAGAAACAAGGGAGAAGCCATTCCAGTCTGTTTTGTGCACTGTGTCAGCCCGCTCAGGAATCTGAAGTCTAGAATGCTGGGAAGGCTATCACAGGGGGAGTCAGCCTCTCCTCTGAGTGGCCGCATGGAGGGTCACCTGGCCTGGGAGGGCTCTGTGCTGGGAACTCAGACTGAGTGAAGCCTGTGTTCCCACAGCCCTTTGCACAGGGCAGCCATATTCCAGGTAGATCTGCTCAGGGGTCTTTGCAGGTTTGAAGGAAATCGATTAGAGAGTGATGATGCACCTTATGGAAGAGTCCCTTTAATTAGAAGAGCTGCTGGGTACATTTGTTTCTGTGGGTTTGTTTTTTGTTTCTGGTGGAACTGGGATTTGAACTCAGGGCTTCATGCTTGTAAAGCAGGAGGCAGGTGCTCTACCACTTGAGCTACTACTCCAGTCCATTTTGCTCTTGTTATTTTGGAGATGGAGTCTCACAAACTGTTTGCCCAGCCTGGCCTCGAACCACAGTCTTTCCTATCTCAGCCTCCCGAGTAGTTAGGATTACAGGCCTGAACCACAGCATGCAGCTGGGTACATTTCAATGTGCTTACAGAGCTGGGCAAATAATCCCAGCTGCTCATGAGATGGAGGCAGGAGGACAGCAAATTTGAGGCTAGCCTGGCAGAGTTAAAACAAAACACAAACAAAAGGACTGAGGGCGTGGCTCGAGTGGTAGAGCACTTGCCTAGCAAGTGCCAGGCCCTGGGTTTAATGGCAGTTGGAGGAGTGCAGGGGTGTTTACAGGTCACTATTTGCTAAGACAGGTGACAGTGACATGGAAGAAACTCCCTGTCCATGGAAGATCCATCAGAAACAAAGCCAGAGTTACCAGGGTTAGAGTCCAGGGGGTCCACGAGATGGCAGGTCCAGCCTTCCACAGTTCACCCCGGCAGTGAGATTCCCAGGGAGCTATGCCACTTGATCAGGGTCCCCCTAACAGAAAGCACAAAGAAATGGGAGCATCTGGGAGCTCATCTGCCATCTGATTCATCTTTGAAACCGAGTACTAGGCATTGTGTAGACACTTGGAAGGAGTTTGTTGAGTAAAAGTAGGATTTTGTGTATGAGCTGGCCTCACAGTTTTCCAAAGACAGTTGTTGCACAAGTTGGGCAATTATAAGCATGATAAAAATTTTTATAAATCTCATGATTCAGACATATTTATAGGAATAGCTTCAGCTCAGCAGCAAGCTTTCTTTTCCCTCTGATGGTCAGGAAAGAGATTCATGTAGAAGTACAAACAAGAGGAACTGAAATGGCTGGGGTATCTCTTATCTCCAGGTCTGTTTGAGGTCCGAGCCCAAGAGTACCTGGAAACCCTCCCCAGCGGAGAACACAGCGGTGTCAATAAGTTCCTTAAGGGACTGGGTAAGAGCCGGGTCTCTCCCCTGTCACCAGCCTCTGTTCCAAACTCTCTTAGAGAATTGGCCAGTTGCTGCCCAAGAGCAGGGACCTAAATGCAGGGTCCTGCCTCCAGTGGGGGCTGGGATTCAAACCTCCAGTCCTAACCTGTCCCCAGTGTGGAAACAGAGGGAACAACCCCACCCCCTTGCCTTTTCTGGGCCCCAGGGCCATCTTGCTGTCTTTTGCTGTCACCTCCACTGCTAAGTCTTATGGGAACACAGCAGAAGATGCAGTACTGGAATAAGCAGGGATTCCAGCAGTGAGGCCTCAGCCCAGCCTCCAAAAGATTAGAGGGGGCAGGGCCCAGGAAGGGTGTGAAGGACCTTCCCTCCTACATGCCAAGCTGCTGGCACCTTAGGGACCCTAGCCACTCAGTTCTCCCTTTATTACTGTATCAGAAGCCACCCCTCCTGAACTCTCTAACGTTCTTTCTTTAATACCTCCCAAATGTGAGCAAGAGCCCTTATGGGGGCTGGGGGGAGGCAGGTGCCTGAGGACCCAGAGGGCCAACTCCAGACAAGGAGAAATCCCAGCTTCTCCAGAACAAGGAGTGAGGCTTCTGGGGTGGCACAGGGCCATGGATGTCCACACAGAATCTGGATAGAAGGGGGACCATTGAACTCGCCCTGCCTGTCTGTCTGTCTGACAAAATGTTCTCATTTTCTTTTACAGGCAGTAAAATGAAGTTTCTCCACAAGAAATAACCTCAGCTCAGCTGCCAGGGAAACCTTCTCCTTGAGCTTCCACAGGCTTCAAACAGTTCCAGCAGCCTTTCTGCAAGGTTGGGCCCTGGGCTGTTCCAGGTGCTAGGAGAGTGACCAGGATGGGTGCCAGCCACCAGCCCGGCCTGCAACCTACCCAGAATTCCTGCTCCTCAGGATGGCCCAGAAAGGGAGCTGCCAACCTACAAACCATTGTCACTGTGTTTGGTTTTGGATTTGGGGTTTTTTAAATCTTGGATATTAAAAAGAAGAAAAGTGTTTGGATGTTCTTTTCATTTGCCAGGGCCAAGAAAAATCTCTCCTGCTCTGTTTCATGTCTTCTGGGCCGGTCTAGAGGCAGCTCTGGACTACATGGAGGGAGAAGATGGGAAGCAGTGGTGGTGACCAGAGAACAGGATCAAGGTTCTGCCCTGGTTAGGACTGGGGGAAGGACTGGCTATACCTACAGACAGTGCCCACAGGTTCAGGATCCACCCTTCCTTTGCTGACGTGGAGGCCAGAGTAGGAGTGGCAGAGGTGTGTGGCAGTCCCCAGCAGGACAGGTTCTTCTGGACTAGTCAGTGATGCCACCTGGTGGCAGACTCCAGGGACTTACTCCCCTCTTCCCAAATGGACTGTTCACTTTTTTCCCCATTAGAACCCTCCTCACCCTAGCAGCCCATGACATTAGAGGGACACACAGAAACAGGAATTTTGTAAACTTTGTTCATAAAATGTTCTTGGGGTCCTAAAATTTATGATGTTGCCTGGAGCCTACCTTGTGACACTTAGGCCACTAATGTGACCCCATTCCCATCTTATTCCAGGGAGCCAGATACAAATTAATGACGCAGCATGTGTGCAGGATTGGTGAGAAGGGCTTTTGTTGTTGACATTGATCAGAAGAGTGGGACAAAACAGTGGGGCGGCCTCGCTACACTTGTGCAACCCAAAGAGGTGCACTGTCCTTTGGACCACAGGAGGCAGGTATAGGAGGCTCCACAGTCTGGGAGGCATCTTATGAGGGGACAGTGGGGAGGTTGTAAGAGACTGTGTACAGCACAGGCAGGTTCTCAGAGCTGGCCTTAGGGCCACCACCCTGCACACACCAGAAACCCTGACAGAAACACAGAAAGGCTGACCTCTGAGCCTGGCAATGGCGCAGGGGGCCTGTGCTGCCTAATACACGTCCTCTGACTTTTTAGGGAGTAGGAAGAAGGGGTTCTTCTGAGGCAAAATAGGAACAAGAGGAAAATGAGGATGAGGTTGACCTCCAGTTGTACAGTAGAGTTTTTTGGTTTTTGTTTCTTTTTGACAGTACTGCGGTTTGAACTCAGGGCCTCCCACTTGCTAGGCAGGCACTCTACTGCTTGAGCCATACCTTCAGTCCTTTTTGCTTTAATATTTTTTCAAATAGGGTCTCAGTGTTTGCCCACAATATTCCTACTTACATTTCTCATGTAGCTGAGATTATAGATGTCTACTACCATGTCCAGGTTATAGGTTGAGATGGGCTCTTGCTAATTTTTTGCAGAGGTTGGCCTCAAGTGGCAATCCTTCTGATCTCTGCCTCTCAAATAGCTGGAATTACAGGTGTGAACCACCATGCCCAGCCTATATTAGGGATTTTTAACCAAGGTCCTGGACCATCCCCACCCCAGAATCATAGCCAAGATTTAGGACGTCAATTTGTTTTTCAAGAGAGAGAATCCAAGCTGGGCACTGGTGGCTCACGCCTATTATCCTAGCTACTCAGAAGGCAGAGATCAGGAGGATCATGGTTCAAAGTCAACCTGGGCAAATCATTCATGAGACCCTATCTCAAAAAACCCATCACAAAATAGGGCTGGTAGAGTGGCTCAAGGTGAAGGCTCTGAGTACAAGCCCCAGTACTGAAAAAAAAAAAAAACGAGGATCCATAGTTAAATCGCATTCTCAGAGACTCCCCAGAATGCCAGGACCAGGCTATGTATAAAAGTTAACCTGAGTAGGGCTGGAGATGAGGCTTGGGGTAGGGCATCACCTAGCTCCTCGAGACCCTGAGTTCCATTCCCACCCTTTAGGGGGAAGTTAACCAGAGTAGGTGTGTCTAAATGAGACTGTAAGCATGGGAGCTTGGAAAGCGTGTCTGACAAGATCCTCAGCTTAGTCATTTTATTAATATTCTGTGTATTTTTATACTGACCCAAAAGATCACTTAATGTTTGAAACCTACTTCCTTCTCTAACTTATTTCCTACTATGTTGTTTACCTCAGATCTCCAAGTGAATAAACATGCAGATTTATCAACATTCTTAATGACTATGTAATATTCTATCCTATACGTTCACTAAAGGTAATTCACCAGACCTTTGTGCTTTTTTATGTATGCAGGATATTTGGATTTTTAATATTATAAAGAACACTGAGAAAAGCATATTTGTGGACTGGTGGAGTGGCTCAAGTGGTAGAGCACCTGCCTAGCAAGCATGAGGCCCTTTGTAGAAATATCTTATCCCAGTCGCCCTACTTTTATTTTCACTTTTGCTTAATGTAAAATATACATATAAAACAGGGTGTGGGTGCTATAATCCCAGCACTAAAGAGGCTGAAGTGGTAGGATGGGCTATAAAGTAAGACCCTGCTTAAAACATACACAGCAGAGCACCGGTGGCTCACATCTGTAATCCTAACTACTCAGGAGGCAGAGATAAGGGGGATCACAGTTCCAAGTTTGGCAGACCCTATCTCAAACAAACCCATTATAAAAAAGGGCTGGTGGAGTGGCTCAAGGTGTAGGCCCTGAGTTCAAACCTCAGTATTGAAAAAAAAAAAAAGGACCAGGGATGTAGCTCAGTGGTAGAGCACTTGCCTAGCAAGCACAAGGCCCATCCACAGTACTGAAAAAAAAAAACAAAGGCTGAAGGTGTGGCTCAAGTGGTAGAGCACCTCTTTGCAAGCTCAAAGCCTTGAGTTCAAATCCCAATCCCCACCAAAAAAAAAAAAAAAAACCACATTCTCCATAAAGAGCATGTATGTGTTTGCTCATAGTCATGAGAAAAAAATTGGAGTAGCATTGTTGGTGGATTTTCTGGAATACTGGAGATGTTCATGTATTGGGGTGGGGGTTGGAGGAGGGAAGACATGAGTGACTGTGGGTACAACTGGTATATCTGAATAAGAAGCACAGATTGGGCTGGGGATTTAGCTCAGTAGTAAAGCTTTGTCTAGCTTAGGAGAGGTGCTAGGTTCCATCCCCAGCACCATAAAAAGGAGGAGAAGGAGGAAGAGGAGACAGATAGCTAATATGAGGGAGAAAGCAGCCATCCCCACTCCTAGAACAAAAGAGAAAGGAAGGGCCAGGCATGGTGGCACATGCCTAAAATCCTAGCTAGTAGGAAAGCTGAAGTCAGGAGAATCACAGGTTTTGCTTTGTTTTGTGTTGGCAGTACTGCGTTTTGAACTCAAGGCCTCACACTTGCTAGGCAGACACCCTAACGCTTGAGCCACTCTCCCAGCCCAGGATCACAGTCTAAAGCCAGCCTGGAAAAAAGTTACTGAGACTCCATCACATAACAAGCCAGGGTGGTAGAGCACATCTATAATCCCAGCAAGGCTGGCCATATAGGTAGAAAGATTGCCATCAGAGCCTTCTTCCCTCCCCTGGATAAAGCACAAGACCCTATCTGAAAGATAACTGAAGGGCTGGGAGCATGGCTGAAGTGGTAGAGCACCTGCCTAGCAAGTACAAGTTCAAACCCCAGCACCACCAAAAAAAAAAAAAGAAGAAGAATGAATTCTCAGAAATTATCAGAAAACTGTCCTGTCACCCAGGCTTAGAACAACAAGAACAGCTGCCATTTATTGGGCGTGGCCCATAGTGATTGGGCTCATCACTAAGTTTTATTTTTTATTATTGTTGCACTGGGGGGACATTGTGACATTTACAAAAGTGCTTACAATATATCTTCTTGCAACCTGCATGGGCTCATCCTAGAAACCTAACTGGGAATGACAGGAGATGAAGAAAGGACAAAAGCCAGAAGACAAACATGCAGAAAGTTGAGGTCAGGTGGGCTGGGGGCTCAGATGGAGACACACGACAGCCAGAGCAATCTTTCTAAAACAACCTAAGGTCCTTTTGGGGCCTGTGGTTCAAACTTCTTCCTGTGACTTACAGACCCTTTGGTGGCCTCACCAACATCTCCCCTCCTTCAGTTGTGCACCCTCTGATTCTTCAGGGCCTTTCTTCTTTGTCTGAACTTTCTACCTCTTACTTTGTTAATTCTCAGTCCCCACGAATTTTCTTCATCACAGTTCCTCTCCCACCATCTATTTGCCGTGACAAAAGACGCTAGGGTCAGGTGGGCCTGGCCCTCTGATGGAGACACACAGCAGCCACAGCCTCATCCACCTCCAACAAGCTTGTAATATACAGTGACCAACAAGGAGGTGGTGCCTGGGGGGTTATCATGGGGAATAGGAGGAAACTGCCATCTTAGGAAAAGCAGCCATGCTGCATTTTTCCCTCCCTCCTTCTGCGGCTGGGGCTGTGCCAACTCAGCCTGCAGATTGTTGGGCACAGCTGTGCTTATGTCAAGTTCTCATAGGCCTCTCATACTCCACTCTCCACAAAATCTTAAATTCATCCCCTCCGTCATTCTCCTTTCCCCCCTTAGAATAGTTTCAAGAGGTCTCATTGTTCCATTTTCATACTTGAGTCACTTAATTTAATCACTGCAGAACATCATTCCTGCTGCTAAATTTAGAGCCTAAAACCAGGAGGTGGCATGGAGTAGGCATTAATACATGGTTGATGGCTAGATTGAAATGTAGCTCTGTGGTTCAATGCTTGCCTAGCATACTTGAGGCCCTGGGTTTGATCCCCTGCACTGCAAAAACAAATAAATTAATAAAGGTAAACAAATGGTGATGAAATCAATGATCCTCACAATAACACTAAGAGTAGCACTATCTGTCACCTGACAGTGGTTCATTAAGGGTCATGCGTACTTTCTCAAAGGGAGGTGGCCTGTTGCTTATGACAGGCATGTCCTTTATCCCAGATACCCAAGGCCTCCAGTATGCAAGGCAAGTGCTCTTCAGCCAGCTCCAGCCCAACCTTCATTGCTCCTGCTTTGCTTTTAGCACTCAGTGTGGCCTAGGATGGGGTCCGAACCATGGGGGTTAGAAAAGCTGAGGGAAAGGAAGCTGACATACTTTCCCTGGCTAATAAGAGGCTGTGTTTTCCTGCCTACCAGGTCATCATCCCACTGGGCAGTACCCAGCAATCCTGCCAACTCCTGGAGCCTTGGCACCCTCCACCCCTATTTCCTCCTTATCTCATTGAGGTGAAAGTCTTGGAACATCAAATAAACCATTTCAGGTGGATGACCAGGGCATCTAGTATGTTAACAATACACAATTGCAGCCGGGCACTGGTGGCGCACACCTGTAATCCTAGCTACTTGGGAAGCTGAGATCAGGAGGATTGTGGCTTGAGGCCAGCCTAGGCAAATAGTTCATGAGACCCTCTCTTCCAAAAAAATAGCCAGAGCAAAATGGACTGGAGGTGTGGCTCAAGCAGTAGAGTGCCTGCTTTGTAAGTTCAAAGTCCTGAATTC